AGCCTATCCAGGCTGTGGCACACCCCAACAGCTGAGAACCTCTGCTCTCCACAGAGGCCACAACCACCCTGATCCTTGGAGAGGGTAATTCAGAGCACCTTTGCTCAACTTGTGGCTTGGCTTTGCTTTTAGCTACCAGTTTACTCCAGAAACAGTGGTTCACGGAGAACAAGGTCACTCAACACATGACATATTTAAACAAGCAGCAAACAGCGATGCAATTCTTGGAAAAAACATAAATGTACCATCACACAGAGATGAAAATCATGCAGTGCTTTTTGCCTGGAGAGGAGGAAAAGGAAGTAGCTTGCTTCTCTCCCCTCTCCAAAACCCATCATTTAGGGATGCTGCTCACACAAGAGCAAGTGCCTTGTGGTGATGCTTTCAATTCTGCACCTTCTAGGGAAGATAACATACTGAGGAGCTATTTTAAGAACATCTCATTCACAAAGGTCTCCAATTCCGTCTTCAGAGAAAGAGATGATTTTCTTGCTGCTTCAACATCTTTACTGGCTTGACATTTGCTTCAGAGGGAATTCATTTGCTGTTCCAACATCAGAATGGAGCAAGAGCAGCTGCCAGGAGAGGGATAAAAGGAAACACTGTCGACAAAGAGCAGCAGGGTCATTTCTGGTGCAAAGAAATATAGAACAGAGAGAACTGCAAAACTGACACTTTCTCCAGAAAGCAGCAGGGGATAAAGATGTCCTCTCTGCCTCCTGCAACTGGTGTTTAGGAAAGGACTAAACAATCAGGCTTAAGTTTGTAAATGATAGATTATTACAAACCAGCTGCAAGCACCTGAACATTCTCACTTAAAGCCAAACTCATGCTTAAGTGCTGCAGTCAGCAAAGAACGCAGTAAGTCCTTCAGAACTCTCAAAAGAAAGCACTTCTGGCTAGAAAGCTCTGCAGAGGTGCTTTCTTACAAGCTCAGTGTTTAGGAGGTGACATTTTGGGGATGATTTCAAGCTGCAGTGCTAATCCTGACCATCATATCTGTATATGCAGTACACTGGACAGACTTGGGGCAGGGCTGTGATCCCACCACAGAAAACTGCTCTGCAAGAGCCAGAAGGGGCTGATGAGCCAGGGAAGTGACACAGGTGCCTGTAGAGTATGATATCCAACATCAGGGAGTAGCACAGTCTTGGATGACACCAATTGTCACTCACACCAGTTGTCCCCTACCCCATCCCAGGCACATCATGCTGCCCTGCTGCAGGAAGCACCATTCCAGCATTTAATTGCTGTTCAAGGCAGTGCCACGTTCCCACAATGCTGCTCTAGAGTCACCCTGCCTGTCGGCCTGACTGACAACCTCACCATAGGTCACCTGCTTCGTTGGGTTACTCGATTCTTTCCCCGCTCTCTTATTAAAAAGTTGCCATGAGCAGGGCAGGGATTTGTCCCTCATTCCACAAGACAAGCAGATCCTTCCCTTCCCCTAGATGAAGGAATATTGCCATCCTTTCAAAAGTTAAGACAGAAACCTTTATACACACCCAAAGCTAAACCAAAATATTCCTCCCCCTGCTCCTCTCTGCATTTTAGTAATGGAGAAATTTATTCTTTTCCAGTTTCATGGAGGAAAGGTTTTAAAGACAAAAACTCTGGAAAATTATTCCTTCAAAGGAAAGGACTAACATACTCGAACAGCAATTTTAACCCCATGATATTTTGTGTACATGTTTATTCTGTTGCATGTTAGGATCACAGTTTATTTGGAGCGTGGTATTTATCTGACTAACCAAACCTGCTCAGATTCACAGGCATGAGCACCATGTTTCTGACACCTTAAGGGCTTCAGCATCAGGATTTATGAATTAAATATTTCCAGGGTGTTACAGAACACTGAGGACTGTATCGGCAGAGTGTTATATCAGGGTATGTGTGGGCTTGTCAAACACCCACATGATAAATTATCAATAGTGCAGCTCAGAGCACCCCTTTTGTGGATCAGAGACAAATTTGTGCATTTTATTATGCTTTGTTCCATTTAATGTTATTTTTTCTGTGTTAAAGGTTCACAAAACCCCTACATGCTGAAGTGCTGAAGGACATTAATACACAACACACAATCAAAAGACTTATTCTATTATTTCCAGTCCTGCTTTCACATAGTTCATGTGGGACAAGGAAAAAAACCTGACAAATTATGTCTGGAACTGGACAATTACATTTTATATTGTTCAAGATGATACAATCTTTTGTGTAGAATTATAAGGTTAAAACAGTGCTGAGGAGCATCAAAGAAACAGGACTAGCTGATTTAAAAGTGTCTACCATCCCTTGCCCATATGCAGAGCCCTGTCAAAGAGATTATACTCCTGCAAAGCAAGTGTCAAATCCGAGAGGAGAATAAATCTCTCAAGAGTCAGAAAAGACTAAACTTGAAGCTGTGGATTTTCAGAAATGAACAAATGTGAGCCCTGTGTTTCCGATGCCCTGTATTGACTTCTATATGCACTAACAGACCTCTGCTGAGGAAACAAAGGCTCTATTAGGTGAGCACTTTGCAAGTTTCATGTTTTCCTTACTACCCTTCTATGCTTTCCTTACATACCCCTATGAATCAACTGGATCTTGTCCTCCTTAACTTTCACAGCATGAACAGCCTAAAAAGCAACTGAACTGAGAGCTCTTAAGTCTCACAGTATGACAAAGGCCAGGGACATGAGTTGAAAGTGTTTATGAACCCAGTGTGCAAGGAAGATACACTCGTTAGGGTTGACCACCCAAGGCTGGCACCTGACAGAACTCCATATGGGCACCAAGATAAGTGCATCCCTCACCAGGCTTCGCCTTCCTGAGAGGGGCTCTGCAGCTTCAAAGGGCAAATAAAATAATATAGCTGTAGCATTTAGTGTATCTGAAATCAAACAAATTACAAACACTTTCTGGATGGAAGCTGGTGAGTGAAGTTTGGACTGATCTGGTCAAGGGCTGTTAGGAAAACAGGTGGCAGTGCCAGGACTGCAAACACTGCACTTCTCCTGCTCCTGCTGCTGAGAATCCACTGATATGCCAGCATCTAACAACACTTGCAGGGGGCTCCTAAGGCAAGACATATATTTACTCAGTGAAGCACCTAACTGAAAAAAAAATTTGAGGTGACACTGTGTGCTTGGACTTGAAAAATGGCACTGAGACACTGACCTCAAATACACTGAGAACCCAACTTCCCATACAAGGATCATTAGGCCACTACTCCTTTTTACTACTTGAAAAAGTTTTGCAGTAAAAGAGAAAAAGAAAACTCCATAATGAAAATGTATGGGAGAGTTTTAAAAGCCTTCAAGTCTAGCCGACACAGGCCTATGCCCTTTTGTACCCACTTCCTTCTCCCCCACACCACACCTCCTCAGAGCCTGATGGGAAGCAGAAACCAGGAGAACCCTTGGGGTATGCCATATTCAGACCCATTAATATCAGCTCCAACAGAAACCTCAACAAGACAGCTACAAATATAAGCTCTAAGTAAGTATTCTGTCTCTTCTTCCAATAGGTCATATAAAACAGCTGTAAACCAAAATTTCCTTGGGTTTTTTTTTCTTAAATGCAGTTCTCTGTTTTTAAAATGGTGACAGGACAGCAAAACTCTGATATAATTTCAGACTGGACTATTATTAACCATATTTCCAAATGCAACAACCATTAACAAAGGAACCCATCTTCAGTCATGCAAGACTTTTCTTGATTACATTCTTAAAGAGCAGGCAAAATGTACCCAAACCCCATTGTTTTGTATATACGGATATGTGTACATATGTATATCTGTTTGGGGATACATTGTATCCCCAAAGTATCAAACCCATTATTGCAAATATTTTGCACTAAGGTTTCAGGAATCACTGTCACGTTTATACTCTCTTCCTCCCCTGCAGAGGAGCCTGATGCTGTCCAGTTTTCAGAGACAAACAGAAAGGACAGATGACAGGACAGCACCTTCAGGAATTTGCTGGTAACGCCTCAGCACTGCAGCTATCCTGTCACAGCTCTGCTGGGCTCTTTTCCTGCCCAGACAGGAGCCAGGGGCAGGGAAGGGGAGGCTGTCAGCTCCCTCCAAGCATAGCACAAGCAGATCCTGTCAGTCACTGACTGCTTCTGGAACCGCTCAGTTTGGTTGGTTACCTGAAGGAACCTCTTTATCACCCTCACAGTAATTTAACTCTACCACCATGGGAAAGGCTCCAGTAACCTGGGAGAGTTTTTCTGAGGTAAAACTATTAATGACATATGATTAATATTCACATGAGAAAATGGAAAGTGTTAAAACTGTCAAGTTTTTACCCATCCCTGTGTTTTAGGGAACACTGATGCCTTACCCAAAGACGCTGCAGTCCCCAAGCATGCAGATTCATAGCCTAAGGGAACAAAATCAACAACCAAAGAATATCTCGGCCCTGGTTAACACATACCTTGCACTGAGCCCCCTGAGCGTGTCCTGAGCACGCCGAAGGGAGCCTCGAAGAGACTGCCTCGGGCAATGGGCACGGCCGTGCTGCTGGGAGCATCTACACTCTCTCATTAGCGGTTTATTTCCCTTTTCTGCCAAGGGGAGCTCAGGCTTGCCGTGACATGGTGCCACCACCTGCTGCCACAGCCCGCGGGCCCCACTGCCAGCCCCGCACATCGCACCTCTCCGGCTCACAGAGACTCGAAAACAAGGCCCCAAAACACCACAGACCCCCACGCCCCTCGCGGCCAGCCCCCGTCGGTCCTCGGTCTTGCGGGACCGACCCCGGCGGGACAGAGTGGGGTCGGCCCGCAGCCACAAAGACCCGAGGGCACCGTGACCCGGGCGGGAGCAGAGCGGACACGGAGGGAGCCGCCGGAGGGCACCGGAACCGGGCAGTGGGAAGGCACTAAGACACGAGCAGGGACGGGAGACACCGAAACCCGGCGTGGCCCCTCAGCCCGCCCTCACCACGGCTCGCACTCCGCTTCCCACCGCCCCCTCAGCACCCACAGTGACCCCGCGCGCGCCGCGTCCTCACCTCACCCCGCCCCGGGCGGGTATTGGCCCCGTCCGCCGCCCATCAGCAGATCCCTCCGCCCATTGGCCACTTGCCGCCTGTGGGCGGGGGCACCTGCCGCTTCCTTATCCGTCACGCGACCCCGCGTTCCGTGATTTGTGAAGCGGCAGTTCCTTCACCGCCCACCGGCTCCTACCACTGGTGAGGAGAGCTGTCGGTCACGCCGCCGCCCAGCCTCCTAGTGCCATTGGCCCAGTAACCTCTTTTCGGGCTTTCGTTTCTCTTCATTGGCTAATTGAACGATGGGCGGCTGCGGTTGGGCGAAAAGCGGGTCCCGGGGGCGGGACTTGGCTGAGGAGCAGACTCCATTGGCCGGCGGCCCGCTGTGAGTGGCAGGAAGGTGAGGGAGGCGGGGCCGCCCGGGGTGAGGGTTGTGTGAGGTGAGGGAATCTCGCGGGGTCTCAGCGGCTCCGGGCGCGGCGGCGAGCAGTGATTGGCCGGCGGGGTCACGGGGGCGGGGCCGCGCCGTGGGGGGGGCTCCGCACGGCCGCGCGCGGTGGGCGGGGCGCGCCGGGCGCCGCGCGGTGATTGGTCGGGGGCGGCTCTCGCGCAGCGCAGCGGGCCGGGCGCGA